GATTGGTCATCGTCTGAAGAAGTAGCTTAGCTAATTATTGATGATGATCGATGATGATTGATGATGATTGTTAGTAATCGATGATGATTGCTAATAATTGATGATGATTGCTAATAATTTGATGATGATTGCTAATAATTGATGATGATTGCTAATAATGGATGATAATTGATGATGGATCATCGTCTGAAGAAGAGATTTATTTTATTAAATTAAATCTCACACTGTCGCGTAATAATATAATCTCTAAATTTCAGAAAATTCAAAATTATGGACTGTGAGATCTATAAATTACTACTACGGTACTACCTATCTTCCCTCGAATAGAACGTACGGTCGATCTAGCTGCATGACCGTACGTTATATTCGGTGGAAGATTGGCGGAATTAAAAAAAAAAAAAGACCTATATACAGCAGCCTGAATGACCGTGCGTTCTATTCGGGGGGGGGGGGKRGGGGGGTAAAGACGGGTAATCTGATTCTTCTTCTCTCTTGCTTCCCGTTTCCCTTTCTCACTCTCTAGTTCGTTCGTTTCGCTCTCTCTCCACACAGCTAAAAAGAGCTCCAATGAGTTTCTTGTTTTTTTTTTTTTCTTTTTTTTATTTTAATTTCGATGTTTTTTAGAAAAACGATTAAAAAATTTATTTTTGTTTCCCTTTCTCACTCTCTATTCCGTTCTACATTTTCGCTCCCTTCTCTTCTTTCTGCTTGTTTGCCTCTCGTTCCAGCTTCTTGGCGGCTTTCCCCCTCTTCCCCCCTCTCTCCCCCCCGCCCTTCCTCCCTCTCTCACTTTTCGCTATCTTTTCGTCTGTAGTTCTCTTTTCGTATATAATTTTTTTTTTTCTCTTTTCGTCCATATAGTTTTTTTTTCTTTTTTCGTCTATATACTATATAGTTTTCTTTTCCTTTCGTCTATACTTTTTTTTTCTGTTCCTTTCGTCTATAATAATTCCCCTTTTCCCTTCGTCCATAGTTCTCTTCTTTCCCTTAGTCATCTATAGTTCCCTTTCCATCTATAGTTCTCGTTCCATCTATAGTTCTGTTCTCATCTATAGTTTTTATTTCGTCTATAGCAGGGTTACCTGACCGAACGTTCGGGGGCCCCTGGGCTGGCCCCCGAACGTTCGGGCGTTCGGGGTCCCGTTCGGGGGCCGAACACCTCCAGGTTCGGCCCCCGCCAAAAAAATATTCGGGGCCTAAAAATAACTTTTTTTTCTGAATTTTTTTTTGTGAGTTCTGTATGATGTAACCTTACACGCCTACAAATTTTGAAGCCATTCTGCTAAGCCAAAAAAACATTAGATGGGGGTGTCAAAACGTGCTCGCCCACTCACTATTTTGTTTTTTTTCACTTTTGACTTTTTGTTTTCACTTTATTTCGGGGCCTTAAAAAAAATATTATTTTTTGAAAATTTTTAACGAGTTATTTATTATGTAAACTACATATCTGTAAATTTTCAGGGCATTTGTCAATGCCAAAAAATAATTACAAATCGGCAAAGATGGCGGTGTCGAAAAGGTGCTGCACACTCACTCATTTTAATTCTCTTTTTATTTTTTCTTATTTTTGTCATAGTGTTGATTTTCTGTATTCGATTTTTAATTCAAATGTGGTAAAGAATTTGGATGTAGTGCCCAGGCAAATGTTATTTAGTTTATTTTCCGCCATAGCATATGTTTTTTTCGGAATTTTTTGAAAACTTTTTTTTTTTTTTTTTTTTTATTTTGGTCCTTTTCCAGCCCGAACGGCCGAACGCCTTCCGAAGGGGTCCCGTACGTTCGGGCGTTCGGGTTCGGGCGTTCGGCCCGTCCCGAACGCCGGCAACCCTGGTCTATAGTTTTTTCTTTTCATCTATAGTTTTCTTTTCATTTTCTTCTTTTTTTTTTCTATAGTTCTGTTTTCGTCTATAGTTTTCTTTCCTTTCCTTCCGTCTATAGTTCTCTTTCTATCTATCCGTGCACGCTTTGCTCTCTCCAGGTTTTTATATTTTTTTAATTTTTTTAATATATTTTTTTATTTTTATTCTTGATTCTTCTCTTTCGCCGTCGAGGTGATGACGTGTCTGATGACGTGGCTAATTGTGATGACGTATCGGCCGTAATTTTGTCGTTATCGTTACCGTCATAATTCTCGTAAAGGCAGTCTGATTTAGTCCTGAGTTCCCCCCCCCCTTCTCCTGATGGAAATCTCGACCACATGTTGGATTAAAAAAGGGAAAAAAGAAAAGAAAAGAAAAGAAAAGACGAGGAAGAGAAAGTCGGATTAGACTTTTGTTGCTCTCGAGTGAGTTGTCGGATTAGGAAAAAAGCAAAGAAAATTGTAAAAAACTTAAAAAAAAGAACGGAAAAAAAAGTAAACGATCTGAGGTTATTAGAAAAAAAAGGCTCATCACTATCAGTTGATCAAGCAAAAGCCTTTCACTATTCCTTCCTTGTCAGATTGAAAAAGGACGGAAAAAAAAAAGGTAAAAAAAAGGAGGACACGATTTGATTTGAGCGGCAAACTTGCTTGATCATGCGAAGCCCCTTCACTTTCACTATACGGCCTCCTTTCATTGGTAATCAAAGTTTAAATTTCTTCCAAAAAAAAAAAAAAAAAAAAAAAAACACCCCCCCAAAAAAAAAAGAAAAAAAAAGAGACCTCCTCCCCCATAAACAAGAGAAAGTAAACCATCTGAGCCGCAAAGTTGCTTGATCAGGCAAAAGTCCTACATTATCCCTTATTCGGATTAAAAAAAAAAAAAAAGTTACTGTAAAAGGCCAAGACCAAGAAAAAGAGACCCGAAAAAGATCCGACAAAGACCCAAAAAAAGGCGAAAAGCAAACCATCTGAGCCGCAAACTTTGCTCGATCAAGCAAAGAAAGTCATTTCCTATCCCTCATCGGATTAAAAAAAAAGGCCAAAAAATACAGCAAGAAACCCCCCAAAAGACCCAAAAAACCCAAAAAAGACCGAAAAAAAAAAAAAAAAGATAAAAAAAGACAGAAAAGGAAACCATCTAATCTACTAAAAAGACAGAAAAGGAAACCATCTAATCTAATAACTTGCTCGATCAAGCGAAAGGTCTTCAGGATCTTCGGTCTACCATGGGTGAAAGGGAGGGCGGTGGCGCTTTCAATTGATTAAGGAAGTTTGCGTTTCTCTTTTTTTTTTCCTTTTTTTTTAATCTCCACTTTTTATTTTTCCGTAAATCAGACTCAGAGGATTGGACTGTGGACTCAAAAAAGCGTTTTTGTTATGATCAGGAAAGTTTGCGCCTCATATGGTTTGTTCTCTTGTTCTTTTTTTTTTCCTTTTATTAATCTCTTGTTTTTTTTTTTTTTTCGTTTTCCCTTAAATCTGACTCCGACGATTGAACTGTGGACTTGCAGTATATTTTGTTGAGGCATATTCGTCTCGTTCTTCTTTGCCCTCTTCTTGCCTTGGTAAACGACAGCGCCTGACAGTTTTTTTTATTTATTTAAAAAAAAAGAAGTGAATGCAGTAATAAGAAAGAAGACGACAGAAAAAGAAAAGGAAGAGTGACATAGTGGAACCCGCCGAGGAGGCTGGCGATAGGGTAATGGGTAGGAGAGGATAATGAAGAGGAAGAGAATATGGAGGAGGATCATAGGGAGGAGGGGTTTATCTATCTCGGCTTGGATTTTTGGGAATCTTACGAACGTCATTCAAGTCTAGTCAACCCTTCTTTTTTTTTTTTTTTTTTTTTTCCTAGGCTACCAGCCGGGCCGCCCGGGTCGCCCTATTTTCCCGGGCGGCCCGGCCGTGCAAGGACTGGGAAGAGTCCCAGCCCTGTCTCTTATACACATCTAGATAGAAGGGGAGGAGGAGGCGGGGTGTCATAAAGAAGGCGGGGTCGTGAGGAGTTGATAGGCATTTTTGGTAGACTGTAGCAATGGAGGGGGTGGGGGAGGGGTCCGCCGTGCAAGCGGAGGATATTCTACAATGGCTGAGAAAGGAGATGGCATATCGACCCCATGGGCAATTTGCAGAGATGTCGTTGCCATCAGCGGAGTCGATCCGTCGTCTGTGTCGGGGAAATATGATTCCAGTGTGGCGGTTTTTGCTGGACAGGGTGAGGTCGGAGAAGAGGGTGAGAGAGATAAGAAGGAACCTGCTGGTGCACGGGAGTTTCAGGGGGAAGAGGGAAGGGGGGGGAGTGGAGCTGTCTCTTATACACATCTAGATGTGTATA